GGGGGGGTGGAGGTGTAGAGAAATTTTAGAGAAAAAATTCAACTTTTGTCAGTGTCAGATTTTGATTCTGGGACGTTTTTTTTACGAGAGGCAAACACAGCAGTACCTACAGGCCTCAAGAGCCCCTTTGCTCTAGGCAGAGTGTTATCAACAACTATCATTCCCCAGACAGACCCTCACAACAAAACTGAAACATTCTTAGCTTCCTAGAAAATTGTAAAAAAAAGTTTTAGTAAGAGTTTTACGCACTTGCAACACAATAGGTAATATAAATGACACAGATTTGAGCTGTTACAAGAGAGTTTAAACAAAATATAACAAATATTTTAAAAAAGGAGGGGAGATGAGGATGATAGATGTTGGATAGGAAAGAAGGAGCAAATCCCACCAGAGCACCCGCCAACCACCCACTTCCTAGAAAGGAAATATCAGAGCAAGGAGTCCTTTCACAGACACTAAAATATTGAAACTACTGTCATGACCTTTCACAACAGTCATTATAACCAGGTTACAGTTACACCTGCGAGAAAGGACAGTCGTACACTTAAAAGCACTCCCTAATAATAACAGATAACTAACTTTAAATCAAAAGCCCCCTTCCCGTAATATTTCTTTGTGGAAGAAAAAAAAAGAGACAGCTTATCACTTCAATATTCATACCAACATTATGCTACCAGTGTCAGACCTGGACAGTACGTAAAATCCATGAAAGCAAAATCACTGCATGCGAGATGAAATGTCTCAGCGAAACCAAACATCACAAGACGAGACAGGCAGAGAAATGAAGAAGTAAGAGCAGCTATTGGCACTGAGTCCTGCCTGCATTTCATAAAAAAAACAGAGACTAAAATGGTTTGGACACCTGTTGCGAATGTCACTTGACAAGCCAGCACTCAGGGTATAAAAGGAAGAAGAAGGCCACGCTAAAGGAGGATTAACGAAGTCAAAGAAACCCTGAGAAATCATAATATCCCAACTGAAAGAGCTGCGGAGCTGGCCTACCATAGAAAACCATCTCCCCTTGGCGCTTAACAGCAAACAGAGGATGACATAGTAAAAATAGGTGTCCTGTCTGAAGAAAAAAAACAAATTGCTATAAATTAAATAAATAAAGTTGTTCACAACTCACCTGCATCATGGTAGCTAAATGGCATGGGTTCCCAATCCAAATCATCTGGCGCGTGGCTAGCTTGAACCCGAGTTCAACTCCAAACGTCAAACACATCAGGAGCAGGAGAAGCCGCTTGCCCACGGGCTCGGGCTTCTGGTACGTGCACGAAAGTCTCCACGGCAACCGAAGTCGCGGCACGGCCACAATTAGTGCCAGCACTGCCACTGCCGAAGCTATCACGCTCTCCCAGCAACGCTGCGAGACGCTTAGAAAATCACGGCATTCTACACCGCCGTTGCCCGGAAGGGTGTGGTCGACGCCTTTGTAGGCCCAGTCGAACCAACCTTCTTCCAAGCCGTTCTGGTCAATGGTTGCCATGATGTAGATATATTCTCACAAGACGGCGATTAATGAAAGAGTGGTGATTACAGTACAGCGGTCAGCGCCGATAGAAAGACACTGGCCCAACTCGTGATATCCGAAACGTCCCAAGCACCCTGCAAAAAGACATATATTATATTGTAGAATGTACATTTTTTTGTGCATTTACAGGGAACAGAAGGACTTCCGTAACAAGCGACTACCCCAACAAACACAATTTACAGAAGAGACCTTATCCTAACACCTGACCCAACCTCTAACCCTTACCCATACCCAAAACCATAACCGTCTATTCTACTCTGTTTCATAGTGGTCGCTCGTTACAGAATTCCTCCCCAAGGAAGTTACAAGCATTTAAGCAAGAAAAAAAAGCAGGTCAACTCAACTAGACATAAAAAGCTGCACATGTCTGCAGAGCCAGACCACAAGATAACATCCATTTATCATCACTAAGCATGACAAAATTTGTAGACAGACAAAATCAAGACCTGGATATGACAACCAGCAGACTGAGGTTAAACGACGATAACAGTGAAGTAATTTTAAGTAACCCAAAGTCTCTGGAGACACAATTTGAAGGGATGTCATCATAATTGTTGGAAACGAGAAAGCGATGTTTAGAGCAATTGCTAAAAATTTGTGATGCATGCTGACAAAATGAGATACTTCTCGGATTCGAGCCCTGTGGAAATAGCTACATATCATGTTATAGGTTAAGCTTTTTACAATCTATAAGTGTATGAAATAATAAAAGGCATGTTGTAATACTTAAAGGATATGATTGAATATATGGCATCAATTGAAAACCTACAAATTTGAACCTTTATTTATGTTGATTTTTGGAACTCCATTTGATCAGCATGCCTCATATTAGGAATTGTCTTCGGCAACAAATTGTCTATGAACCATCAAGTCTTGTGAGACCACCTACTGGGTGACTATGGTGCACTTCATTGGGGGGTTTTTGTTGGGGGGGAG